CATGCGGGTAACTTCAGGATGAGCGGCTAGGAACGCTGAGAAAGCCGTGTAGTAGTTAATTGCTGGATAAATCTCTTTGATCTGTATAGAGAACTTGCTTTGGGTGTATCTGTTCACGATCTACATTGCGGCAACGTTCAAGAGTATCGAGAGTTCTGCACACACTCTCGTCACCCTTGGCTATTTTTGCTATATACGGTTGAAGATCTCTAAGCAAAATTGGATGCTTCCGCCCATACGTACAGTGGAGTATTTTTTGCACGGCTTTTAAAAACCTAGGCTCTTGGCTGCGTCTTTCGATACTTCGAACATATATTCTGCCCAACGAACATCGTTCTCTGTTCTCATGCCCAAGAGTTGCAGATTCCTCTACATTGACACCATCAAAAGATAGGAGCTGTTCATCACTTTTCCTCTGTGTTAGCAGAAAGCTTTGAGTCTTGTCGTCGTTAAAACTCATCCGGACTCCATTCAGATATTTTCACGAGGTCGCGTAGGATAACACCTGCCGTATACGCAGCAATTATTTATTAATAATAATATACACACTTATAACTCACTTTCCTTTCGTAATTTATCCGCAAGGATATCTTTACAATACTCACCACCGAATGCCGAAGGTATATTCGTTTTGATAAAATACTTGCTGCTTGCAAAAAAAGACTCTTCGGAAATTCTACAAAGAGTATCTCTAATTGAGTAGAAGAAAATTCTGAACCGATGCAAAAACATCTGTCCGTTCGTCTATATTTCTATGTCACGGTGTGCGGTAAGCAATCCCACGATTGCGAAATTAAGAGATTTCCATTTCAATCACTTTGTCGGAAGGTGATATTGAAAAAACAGTTCAAAGAGGGCAAAGAAAATGCTTACGGGAAGAAACCGAGTACTACAGAGAATGCAATTTATTTTATTTGGTTCTTTTGTATAAAAGTGGTGGCCGTAAGAGATTCGATCATAAAGTGGAACCAAATTTCTTGTTTGTTCTTTTATTTTCAAATTCCACGCTCTTCTTCTTAGCGAATTTTTAAATGACTTTCTTTAATGTTATTAGGCTACGTTAAACGGCACTGCACGATATTATTATTATTATTCCACCGATTATAATTAAATTTACATATGATATTATTTAATTTGGCTCAATAAATAATTTTATGACATTAAAATGTAATAATCTTCATTTTTATTCGTTAGCTGACTCGCTGAACCTTGTTTCAGACAGATGGAAAAAAGATAAATAAATAAATAAATAAATTTTTAATGTGTGTTTTGAATGTTAATTTTGAAAATCAACATTTTACGTTGTTATCGAAAAATTGAAAATTATTGTAATAGACAGCTGTTGCTAAAAGAAGGACGAACCCTTAATACGCGAAGTCGAAATACTCGACATATATGGAACATATGTCTGAAAAACTCTCCCCATTGTTACGATGTTTAATAAATTTCGAGTCACATTTTCTAAAAAAAAGTGTTAATCTCTCTAAGTCCAAGATTGTATTTCGTGGAGGACGATAGGCAATGTTAACAAAAACAAAATAAAAATTGCGAAAGCCGACACGCCTCCATTTTGTTCTTTAAAAATCAAAAACAAAAAATTTCTCTTATAAGAATTTTCATATTCTATACCACTTGCGATGCAAGGGTATGTTAAGTTTGTGAGGATGTATGCAACACCCAAAGGAAGAGAACGACTTTCTGATTTGATTTAAGTGTGTTTATCCGTCTTGCTTTCTTGTATTCTACTTACAAGCCACAATTTTTGAAATTTGATTTGATTAGAATTCGAACAATGACGTATTCCGGTCCATGGGCGAATGCTATCAAACCTCGGAGTACTTTTGCGCAAATCCTTTTGACCCCTTATTCTGTGTAGTCATTATATGAATTCCTTTAGGGTGGCATGGGATATTTAAAACAACTTTATGGGCCGTAAAAAAACAAGTTTTCATAATAAATCGATTAATTTAAAATTTATACTAAATAAATTTAGAAAGTTGACATTACTTTGAGAGAATGCATGATAGTATTAATTACCCTTTAATGAGCCTTTCAGCCTTTCGTCCAGTCATTCTTCTTATTATTTGTTTACACATGAAATTCAGCTAAAATAAACTCAACTAACTTTAAGTATTAAATCTTATATTAATAATTATTAATAATTATTACAAGATTTTTAAAGAACTAATTCTAATCCTTATATTACTAAAAGGCTTTACACGTGTTTGGTTAGACCTATTCTTGAGTATGCCTCTGTTGTGTGGTCTCCTTCATATAGATGCTACGTTGGTTCAATTGAATCTATACAAAAGCAATTCTTGCTGTTTGCACTTAGGAATTTGGGTTGGGACCCGATTTCCCCTCTTCCACCCTATGAAAATAGGTTGCTTCTGTTATCCTTACCGTCACTCGAGAAACGTAGATTTGTTCTTGGGGTTTCCTTCCTAATCAAATTAATAAATGGTGCAATTGATTCGCCCGCATTACTTCGTGAGATTTGCTTTAATGTCCCTAACCGCTTCTCTAGGTACTTTATGTTGATAAAGCTTAGTCAATGCAAATATAACTTTGAACTGTTTAACCCGCTCAGAGTTGTTTGCAAGAACCTAAATGATGTCTATCATCTATTCTCATTAACGGACTCTTTAAAGTCTATTAAAGCAATATTGCTCAACAAGCGCGATTTACTTATGTCGTACTTAAACTGATTTAACCTTAGATTTTGTCATTATGAGTCGAAAATTAATTTGTTGTTAACAATTATCGGTTGCCGAGCTTATGCATGTTTGCGATGGCTTAGGGGTTCACTTGCAATTTGGTCCTGTATGGTTGTGGGCGTGGCTCTATGCTAATTGTGTACATGCTTTTTTTTTTTTTTCCTCCTTATTTGTTTTATTGTACTTATACTAAGTTTTATTATTAAATAATTTTAAGATTTACTTAAGAGTCAATTGAACTCGACTGCCATTTTGTTTTAGTTGAGTTTCTTGTATAAGTGGAATAAATAAATAAATAAATAAATAAATAAATGAAGAAAAAGCGAAATAACAAAAGGAACAAATTTCATGTATAAATAAAACGAAGAAAAACAAGCATGTACCCATCTACCACAGAATAACTCTCTTAGGCGTTTAGGAGTGTACCCCTAAGCCGTTGCAAACATGCATAACCTCGGCAATTAACAATAGTGAACAAGTTTCGAATCATATGAAGATATCAGGATTAGAAGTTAATTTAGTTACAACATAGGTAAAAAGCATATTTTTAAGAGAGCGGATTTGATAGCATTTAAAGAACCCGATAATCAACTTAAAGTCGTAATTATATTTACACTGCCTAAATTGTATATAAATAAAATTCTGAAAGAGATAGTTCGGGATATTGAAGATTATCTCAACAAGTAATGTCGGCGAATACATATATCATACTGCGCAGTTAAATCCACGATCCACTTCTTTATTCGTCGAAAAGTATAAGAAATATTACGAAATCTCAAATTCTAAAATTTTGCTAGTTTTCGAGGCTGTCCATAAGACCATTGTTGTCTTTTACGAGAATCGAAGAAACTCGTAGAAGGATATGCAAGATGGGTAAAAACGGACAAAGACGCATGAAATTTTCAAACTTTTGTTTCTATGAAAAATAGAAAGCATGTACAGACTATTGTGATAGTCAAATTCGGAATGACGCCTAACACACTAACGTTGTGCTATCATAATCCAGTTCATTATAAGAAAAGCGGCAACTATTTTAAATTCAATATAGGGACAATGTTAAACTATTGAAAGAAGACAAAAATCATTCCGAAGAGAAAAATTAACTATTAGTACATTTTAAAAATAATTAAGTACCTGATTAATGTAATGAAATATTGACACCGCCATGAGTGTAAATTAGCAATGAAGTGTATCTCGTTTATAGCTATTTTACGACATCATATTTGATGAGTTTAATAGACATGTTTAACGCGCTAATTAAGTATATTCGTATAACTTAAAATTTACTTAATGAATGTCTCCACTTTTATAAGTATGCGCATCTGAGACCTCTCTAATCTCTCTAATCAGTGGTAAATGATTCCGAATTAATTTAGCCGTCAATTATATATGTATATATATATATGTACGTATTTATACATATATATGTACGTATGTAAATAGAGAGCTCAAACCTCCGTGAACATAAGTCCTAGACTCACACACACTCAAATCTAGAATAGATTACAGAGTGTAATTATTAAACGTATAGTCTAACTCTACCGCTCTCTCTCTCTCTCTCCCTCTCTCTTTAGTAAACACTCAATATTAATACAGTGACCAACATAATAACATTGTTCACACAATTCATGGAACTTTGCTTAAGATATTGAGTATCCAAAATGCGCCCTTTGGCGAATACAATTTTCTTAAATAATTTCTGTATTAAAACGTTAAACACTTTACGCGAAACCCTGTATAATTAATGTCAGCAAAACTCATATATAATCTTATTTAATGAATTTTTGTCTTTGTTACTTTGTTCAAAGCGGTTCGAAGGAGACTGCAGACGTTTCGGAGAAGTCGTGTGGGGGGTGGGATGTAATGTTTACACAGTATATAGATTGACATCCATCAATAAATTGCTATAGTTTATGCGAACAACTAAGTGCTATGTCAGATGCAAATGTTAAAGATATCGTCACAGATAATCGTATGCGTTAGTTAATGATGCGTTGACATCAATCTATAAAATCTTTAAAGAGAAGTTTTTTTTCGCATTATCTTAATAGTAAAAATAGAAGAAAAAAAAGGCCTACATGGTTGTTTCCATATTAGATATGACCATAAAAACAAATGCCTTATGGATTTTATATGCAAAGTAAACGTAACACGGAATACCCCATATTGTCGCATTTAGCAAAAGACAACTAATAATATTTATAAATATTCTAATGTGTTCGTTTATTTATAATTGGAATTTCGTATAGCAAAGTTTTTAATTACTGGTATAAATAGCAAACAAAATGTTGCAACATTTTCATTTTCTATCATACCGTTAAGTGGTTTATATATATATATACGCACATTGTATAATAAGATTCAATGAAATTGTGTGAGAAATAAAACGAAGAAAGAAATCAAAAAACCATGTTTTTCAAATTAATATGTTTAGCGGTGCGTATACTTAACATTTGAAATAATTCGGAAATTTACAAGAAAATGCTTCGCTTATTATAGCTTTTAGCACTAATGCTATTGGCGTTGACAACGATAACAGTAACGGAAGCTCAAGGCGATGGTCGTTATAGACCACCATCACCAAAGCCGGCGGCAAGACCTGGATCGGGCGATAATGGAGGAGGACGTTACCGTCCTGGTGGTGGCGCCGGTGACGGTAGATACAAAGGCGGTGGCGATGGCCGTTACAGAGGCGGTGGTGACGGTAAATATCGCGGCGGTAATGACGGGAGATATGTTCACAAAGATGTAAAATATGTGCACGATGATCGTCCGGGTGGCGCTTATTCCGGTGGAGTGGAACCTTATAAGCCAGATCGTAACATTCAAGTTACACCAGCTCCAGCTCCACCCCCACCACCGCCTCCACCACCACCTACTCGTCCTCCCATATCGGATGCCGAAGCTAAAGCCAGAGCAGAAGAAACACGAAGAGCATTAGATGCTTTAGTGGGCATCAGCAGCAAAACTCTGCCACAAGGCAAAGGCACTGGCGAAGGTCGCGGCGGCTGGACTATTATACGTTTAGAAGATCAAATGCAAAAAGATGGCTATCATTTTCTGTAAGTATCATCATATTTTCTCTTAATGTTATACTAAGCTTCTTTCTTATGTTAAATGAACTTTCGATAATATTTAGTTAACAGAAGCGTTTGAAATTAAAAAAAAAAAAGCTTTTTCTTAAATGAATTTTTCTATTATGTTACAGAGACAATTTTTCGTTAATCTCTTAAATATGCTTTAACTTAGTAATTTGTAGCATTTTTCCTAACATTTGTTTCTTTTTTTCTTTTTTTTTTTGTTTTTTATTTCTTTCACTAATAATAAAGTTACGAGACCGAAAATGGTATTTTAGCTGAAGAAAATGGTAAAATCGAACAATTGAGCTCAGATGAAGGTTTAAGATCGCAGGGCTTCTACGAATATACCGGTGACGATGGTTTACTATATCGTGTGGAGTATACAGCTGACGATAATGGTTTTGTTCCACGCGGCGATCACATTCCAGAAACCCCGCCATCAGTCATTAAGCTATTGGCTTATTTACGCGAAAAGGGTCAACTTCAGTAACAAATTTAATTTTTTCTCGGCTTAATTGCAATTTTAAATGAAACATTTGACATTAAATGAACATATTACACATATTAAACAATTGAATTAATTTATTTAATTGAAATTTATTAAAATATTCTAAAGTCTATTCGATTTTCTGAATGATTATGCTAACATTAACAAGTGCAATGATAGGGATAGGATAGTTAACTCATCCAAATTTATCTAAACGAAGCTATTATTATTAGTTGCGTTGGTATTGCAATTCATGGACTTTTTTGGTGCTATTTTCTTAAAAACTGTTGACCTAAACGCATTAAGTCCGTTCATCTCCATCAAACTAGTCGACTTTCTTCTCAATATTATCGGCACATAACATATGAGATACAAGAGATGAATGCTTTCCATAAACGACAATGTTTTTAAATGTTGAAGACGATTCTAAAATTCAAAGCTATGTTCGTCAACATGCAAAAGCAGTATACAGTATGTCAAAACCAGTTAGTCAACATGCAAAAGCAGTGTACTGTAAGTGAAAATAAAGTCCGTGAATTAGAAAAGGAAATGGACAATGTTAAGAGATATGCAGAAGCCCTACGAAGTAAGGCTTCGGAAGTAAGGAAGACAAAACGGAAGTAAGCAGACGGAGGATTATGGCACGTCTAATTCTTTATTATCGTTATGTGCGATAATTGCTTCAAAAGGGAACTGGCAGGAGTCCATGAGGAAGGAACTAAACGACGATTATTATACGATTATTATTTTTGGTACGACCCGTACCAAAAAAGCATCTTCTAAGGATAATCGTCATTTAGTCCCACATGGAGTCCTGCTTGTTCCCTTTCGAACCAATCATCGTCCATAACGTTCATATAAGAATTAGACGTGTCATAATCCTCCGTCTGCTTACATCCGTTTTGTCTTCGTAGAGCTTCGGCATATCTCTTAACATTGTCCATTTCCTTTTCTAATTCATGGACTTTATTTTCACTTACAGTACACTGCTTTTGCATGTTGACGAACTGCTTTTGACATACTGTAAACTGCTTTTGCATGTTGACGAACATAGCTTTGAAGTTTAGAATCGTCTTCAACATTTAAAAAGACCCTTTCCATAGAATTGAATGGACGTCGACATTCGGGACAGTTTATCGACCGTAACTTCCACGTTTCAATACATTGCCCATGGAATACATGGCCACACCCAATAAAGTAAATTAATTCGGATGCTGTAAAGCTTTCAAGGCACTTCGAACACAATGCTCCCGGGAACAACTCCATTTTTCCAACAACTTCAACTTCTTTCCGCAACTTCTTTTCCGCAAAGGCATGATATTCAATTTAGTGATAGTTTATTTGGCAGTAAAAGCTTTGCACGAAATAAAATCTGTAGAAAAGAAAAGAAAACGTCAATCTTTTGAGATTTTTGCCTTAGAAAAAGATTTTGTGCAGTAAAGTTCAAATAAGTAGTTTATACGATCTAATGGACCCCATATGACACTCAATGAACCGTTTAGCTAAACATTCTCTGATCCCTTTGCCATTCAAGAATTCACAAAGACTTTGGGTAAAAATATTGTAAAAAAGTATTGCTGTGGACCTATTAAGACGATAATCTGGACCGGTTCAATCAAGAACTTTTCATTCGCACCGAATTCATATCCTTTCATACATTCTATGGACGACGCTGTAGTACCTATACATGGAATCGAAGAATTGACCACTTCTACCCAATAGTGTAGTGTACAATCATTCTCCCGCTAGCGAAAATGACGATATCGCCTATAAATTTGCAAAAGAATTTGGAAGTGACAAACTTTTGCAAGGACACGCCTACAACGGCCCCACATCTACGCGACAAAAACTTCCGTTTCGATGATAGGAACAAAAGCTGGGCCCACTCCATCTTATGGAGCATGAAAATGTTGTTCTTCACCTTTTATATCTTTTTTAGGATAACGGCGATGGATATAGAAGTTTCGGTCTAATGTCAAGAGAATGCTAATTTAATTTACTGTAGGTGGATATTATTTTAGGTCGGCAGAATTGCTGGCATTTGGAACTCTCCACGAACGATATCGTCACAGCGGTAATACAGCTTTGAGTTGGCCGTTAATTAAGCCACTGCTAATTAGAAGGACTAGAGTTTGGTGAATAGCCCGAGGAGGGCAACAAATTTTATTGTTATATGTAGGCTGCTAAAGCTTCATTTGCCATATATGTCCGAATAATATCTTAGTGAAAAGCCATGACTTCTAACACAAAACGTCTGTTGTCTGGTTTAATTGCGGCAATTGTTCAAGGTGGTGATGATTTCCTTTCGTTAGAGCAACTCACAACGCACTACCATCGGCTGTTCTGAGAAAAATACGAACGTCAACTACGTTGTTGATGCTAATGGTTTGCCTACTTTGCATAAGGTTTTCTTGCATTTTAGAGATGTGTTCGCCATGCGTCCCTTATTTGTCATCTGTCACTGTTCAGCAACATTAACCTAAGCGTTAAGCAAGAAAAATTCCATTTCTCCCCTTTAGCGTTTTTTTTGTTTTTTTTTTTTTTGTGTTTTGCACAAAGCCAGACCAATTTGGACTTCTATGAGATTATATTGTGCGCACTTCTACGGGAAACTTATACTAAGGCATTTCTCCTTAAGATAATGCCTTCATATAGAGAAATTAGTTTTGAAAAATACCTCGAAAAAAAGCCACACCTCTTAAGCCAGGATGAATTTCTACGCCGATTCCCACGTTTTATATCAAGTTTTGCGACTGCGAATATTTCAGCGACAAGAGACAGACGACAAATTTAATAATTAAAAGTATATAAAATATGAATATTTTTTTTTTTTTTTTTGTTGAAAGAAAATGGACTAGAATATGAATATATTTACAAAACGTAATAGTACGCATACTATCGAAGAAGCATAGGGAGTTACCAGTCGAGAGAGAAAAAAGAAGTTCACAAAGTGATTTGCGTAACTAAATATTCACATAAGCCAAACAAATGAATGTGATCAAGGGACACTCGATAAAGGTAAATAAAGAGCAACATAGATTGCTTGCCTAGCAATCTATTTTCATAGAATTCGGACCAGGGCGAATAAAAATAATAATAGCTAAAGCGCAGAAGAGTGGAAACAACATAGTATCATGTTTATGTTCATGTTAAAGAGATAAACGCATACATGTAATATACTCGTAGCTTGGACTCTTCGAGCTACGCATTTGCAATCGGACATCCATTCCGGTTCTGCTGTTTAGAGTATAAAGGCTCGGCCGTGTAACTTTTTTTCAGAGTAAAAAAGTCTCCTCTTCTTCTTCTGCGTGTCTTGGTATAAAAGCATAAAAAATTCATTAATAAAAGACAAAATTTGATGAAAATTGCAAAGGACAAAAACAACGAATCGAGAAATGTCCTCAACACGTACCAATGATGTGCCACAAATTGATGTCAATTTCAGTTATCAGAATTTTTAACTAATTTACCATCTGCTTTGAATGCTTTTTAACATCCCTTTGCAATCATTGGCGGAACTCTTTTTAAACGTTTTTTTAGGATGACTTTATTTCGAACACACAATTTTTGAGGCTTAACCAGCGTGATGAATTCTTCATTTGCTGAATTCAAGAAGAAGAAGAATTTAACACAGTTTCTTCTCTCTAAATAAGGGGAATGGAAAATTCGATCTCAAGCGAGTTTATTCTAAAAAGTTGTATAGAATATCACAGGATTTTGACGATATTAGTTCAAGCTCCATAAAGGTCGATTTTTAAATGAACACTTCTGTCATGGACAGAACATATAAAATCTTTCAACAAGAATTGTCATTGCGCCATTTTTAAATTGTCAGCGTAGAAGTTTTTAATTATTTTGATGTAAACGTTGCAAGTGGTTTACGTATATACGCACAATGTACAGTAAGACTCAGTGAAATTGTCTGAGCAAAGAAACGAAGAAAGAATTCAAACTTCTTTTACATATTCATAGCAGAGGATATTCGCTTCGGTTCTGGTTATTTATATTAACACGTAGGACAGTTATATTCGCGCTAGTATGAATCCTTGATTCTTTCATCTCTTTCTTTTCATTCCGATCACTTTACAACATATCTCGTACAACTGTACAACAAAAGCATCTAATAGTAATTGTAAGCTGATAATTATTAAGCAGCTATTATGTGTAAACTTTATTTCAAAAAAACAAGATAGGGTCGTACCAGTTTTTGGATACGACCCTTACGTTTTTTATTCATCTTTAAATACAGTTTTACAGAATTCTATATAAAAAGCATCTTATTATAAAAGCAGTAAGTTTGAGTGTTTATTTGGCCAAGTTTGTCGACGGTTTTAAATCTTCGTGTCAAGTAGGTGCTCCTCTCCAATTTATTGCCAAGAATTAAACTTTTTTTGCTTATATTGAGCCCGTCTAGCGATCGTTTTTAATAAGCTTCAGTATTCTCCCCACATTCCGTAGGGCTGAAGCTCGAGTTCCGAATCCCGCAACAAAAAAGGATCTTCTGCATAATAATTGTCGTAGGACTGAAGCTCGAGTTCCAAATCCTGTAACAAAAAAGGATCTTCTGCATAATAATCGTCATTTAGTCCCTCATGGAGTTCTGCTTGTTCCATTTCGAACCACTCATCGTCCATAACGTTCATATAAGAATTAGACGTGCCATAGTCCTCCGTCTGCTTACTTCCTTTTTGTTTTCGTAGAGCATCTCTATTTCTCTTAACATTGCCCAGTTCCTTCTGCTTACTTATGATTTGTCTTCGTAGAGCTTCTGCATATCTCTTAACATTGACCATATCCTTTTCTAATTCACGGACTTTATTTTCAGTTACAATACACTTCTTTTGTATGTTGTCCAACTGATTTTCACAAACAGTATACTGCTTTTGCATGTTGACGAACTTTTTTCACTTTCATGCAGCTTTTCCTGAAGTTTTTTTAATTCGCCAACATAGCGTTGAATTTTAGAATCGTCTTCAACATTTAAAAAGACTCTTTGCATAGAATTGAATGGTCGTCGACATTCGGGACAGTTTGTCGATTGTAACTTGCACCTTTCAATACATTGCGCATGAAATACATGGCCACACGCAATAAAGTAAATTAAGTCGGATGCTGTAAAGCTTTCAAAACATATGGCACAAAATGCTCCCGGGGACAACTCCATTTTTCCAACAACTTCTTCAACTTCTTTCCGCAACTTCTTTTCCGCAAAGGCACGATATTCAATTTAGTGATAGTTTATTTGACAGTAAAAGCTTTGCACGAAATAAAATCTGTAGAAAAGAAAATGTCATTCTTAAAAAAAATTTTGTGCAGTGAAGTTCAGTGATGTAGACGAAAAATGTTTATACGATATAATGCTGATAGATTCAGACTCGGTATCAAACTCTCCAAGCTGTTTAGGTAAATCTTCCCTAATCCCTTTGTTATGTAAGGATTCACAAATGGAGTAACAGTAACGGGGGTTGTGCAATGTTTCGATGGGACTTGTAATTGATTTGTTTTGTTTCTATAATACTGCTGGTTAGGCGATGCTTTCGATGTGAACGACATAAGTGCTATTGATTATATTATATAAACAATAAAATTTACCTATCAGATCTCTATACAATAAATCTTAAGGTACAAAACGATTAATTATTTCCTAAATATAAATAAATAAATAAACGCAATTATTACCTCCCTATCTGTCACCATGTTACACGAATAGGCGACGTGACTAAGAGTAAATGTTCTCTTATTAAAAAGAACAAAAATTCCAATATTTATTTCGTGTTTTTTTCTTTCTTTTGGGCGTATGTAAGCCGTTTGCTACGAAAAAGTCAACTCTTCGATCCTTGCAAAAGTATATATGTTTTAGTGATGAGACGACACGACGGTATTCAAGCAAACATTCAATGACTTCGGTATTTTAATAGTATTACCTTATATCAGAGCATTTGGGAACAAAGGAAATGTATTATTAAAGAAAGAACGAAGATTGCATTGCAACTTCATGGAGAAACAAAAAAAATATATATATATATTTAAAAAAAATATACTTTTGTACCGTCTTGAAGTTAAAATCCGTATGGCGCAATTTTCACTAAACGGAAAGCATGAAATTTATTTCAAATTCTATCATGCGATAAATTTTATCTTTTTTTTTTTTATTACTTAATACTTCATGTTGCCTTTCGCGAGCATTCATATTATTTATGGATGTAAACAAATTTAGAAATGAATCCTTGACATCTTTACGAATTAAATTTTAGCGAAATAAGCAAAGCTGGTAGAAAAATCTTTTCGAAACCAAAAAAAAAAAAAGAAATAATCAACGAAATAGATATATCTTTATATTATATACATTATTTAGAGACAGAGAGAGAGAGGGAGAGAGAGTGGGAGAGAGATAGAGGGGCAGAAAACGAAATTGTATTACAACAGGTTTTCTTGTATTCTCGGCAACGCACTTAACGAAATGCGTTTTGTTTACGAGTAGTTATCACAAACGATGATGATGGTGGATGATTCAGTACAATAGATGAAAAAATAATGCGATTAAAATTCTTTAAATCACTTTAAGTGAAACTTTTAATAAATTACAAGAAATTATAGACTAGATTTCATTGTGCGAGAGTAAAAAACCAGATGCACTAACAGATAATGAAGCAATTGTTAAACGATCTTCGGACTGGTAAAAACGCAATAATCATCAGTTCAAACGTGTGTTGGGAAAAAGAAAATAACTTTTTAGTTAACGAAACACAATATTTTTTATAAATAAAAAAATATTAGAAAAAATTAGTGAATAAAGAAAAAAAAAAAAAAAAAAATATGATACAAAAAGGATATCAAAGTGTAAACAAATTTCAGCAAATAGGTTTAATTATATGCTTAAGTGTATTGGTTGTGAATGCATTGCCTCAGGAAGATCGGCCGAGAAAAGTTCGTCCTGGACGTTATATACCAGAGTTGCATGGCGGTTCATTGGGTAAATGGGTGCCCGATGATAGCGGTAAATATTTCCACATTCATCGCCCATACGATGGCGGTTACGGTGATCGCGGTATAAAATATGTTCACGACGCCCGCGGTAATATCATTAGACGACCGTTGTCGTTAATTCCTACGCAATTTCTGAAAGGTCCTTTAGGTCCTGACGATCATATACGTTTTATGATTGACTTTAATTACAATGGAACCGGTTGGCAAATTCTTAAATTTGAATGGAACCGTGATGGTGATGAAGAACATCAATACAATATCGAAGTTTCGAATCACTTATGGTTAACTGAAGAGGAACAAGCATTAGAAGATCAACGTGCTGCCGAATATGAAAAGAATAAAAATGGTAACAACGGTGACGAGGGTACAGTTCATGTCGACGGCGTTTACAATGACGAAGAAGGCTATAATTATTCTTACACAAATGAGGAAAATACCCAGACATCGTCAGCAGCAAAACAAAATGTAAGTCAGTGTGTGTTGGTTTTTTTTTTCTTTTCATTTTGTTTGAATTTAGATCTATGTATATCCATATCTATATATATATGTTTTTTTTTTTTTTGGACATTTTAGATACAAAATTTACAAAATTCCTTAAAGGAAGTACTGGATTACATACAGAGGAGCGTTATACCAAGTCTATGAGTTTAGCTTCGCTAGCTAACCTGCTACCTATAGTTAATTTTAAATTATTTATTTTTGCGGAATCTTGTTTTTCATATCAACACATTTAACTGCTTTATGACTGCATTTAATTGGGTCGATAAAATATTATATTCCTTTAGATTAAGATAAAAATCTAGTAATAAAAAATTGTATTTTAATATTATGAAACGCGTATAGATATTTATTTGTTATTAATCATTGAGAATTAATTAAGATTCGAGTGCGTTTGACATTTATTCATTGAACTGGAAATTTTTGATGCATCCAGTAAAGGTAAGTTGAAAATCTTTATTTCACATTTTTTTTTTCTTTAATCTTGAAATTTTTAAAATTTCAAAATTCATCCCTAGTAGTGCTAGGCAACAGGAAATTGGAAAAGGTAAGGAAAAAAAAAGTATTTAACAAGAATTCGTTTTCGCGTTCAGTCAGTATGTGAATCTTTAACCTGCGTGGTATTAACATTCACCCCTACCTTAGCGGGCAAATCAGTTTTTGGTAAGATAATCACAAAGGAGTTTAACAAATTGGCTAGAGTGTGAGAAAATAATTCGCGTTGTTTCATCTTGCGTATGGCCTTCTCACGTCCAATTTCTGCTTCAAGAGACGGTGTGCAGATCGATATGCGCTGTTGGAAACGCCTACTATTTTTGATAATATCCGCTTTCCAAAGACGTTGTGGGCTTTCATCAACATTTCAGACATGGCCTTTTCAGTTGGCCGACCATTATGATGATATTCATGGTGGAAATTCTTACATAGGCTTTTAAACTCTGCCCCGCAGTAATCTCTAATATTACAACCGTAGGAGCGGACTTCCCAAAGTAGCTTTTAGATCAACTTTGCTGTTGATTGACTTCGAGGCTTTTTGATCATAAGTATTGCATCCCATGGTTTCATGTTCTGAAATTTACTTGCAGCGTGCACTGTCGATTTCTGTCAGACACAAACTAAGCGACTAACCTTATAAGTAAGGAACCAACCTTATAAAGGTTAGATTTGAAATTTGAAAGCACTAGAGAGATTGCTCAATTGGTACATTCACTGACAGCAATTGCCTCCTCTACGTCATCTCTACTGTTTAGCATACTCTTGCGCCGCCTAACTCGAAATATATCTGAAAATATTTCTCATACTTTTTAATCATTGAACTCGTAGAGACAAATGCCGCAGCTAGTTACAATGTTGTGCAGTGGAGCGAGGGATAGATCTGCAACTAGGAATCCATGCCCGTAAAAACGTTTATTGGAGCTGAATATACTTCCCTCATTGCGACGTCGCAACCAGAAAAGGTATTTCCTTAAGTATTTGAAAATAAAAATTACGTGTTTCCCCAGGCATTCATTTTTAATTCACAATCCATTGCTGCATACTCAAGCATTTGAAATTATCAACAACATCTTCTTATTATATTTGTCAACAAAACATGTATTTTTATTCTCTCACCTATGAATAGAGTAAAAAGTATTATCATAAATATATCTGAGAAATACGAAATAAAAGTCTTAGGATAATAAGTTAAATCTCTGCAATCTCTTCAATGAATTAAACTAATAATTAGTCGGCATAGGCTAAGAAGCTCCTCGCCAACCGTCGACTTTGCGTAATAACGCTACGTATTTGTGAGCGCCGGTCGTATTAGCGTCAGCAATGCGATGTTCTGTCGCGCATATCTTGCGACAGGCCATTTTAAGCTTGCCGCTGCCTTTAAATCTTACTTCACTTATACATGTAGTAGTTTTTATCCCGACATCTATTAACCCATTTGAACAATTTCATAGTTTCATTAAATAAATTAACTGAACGGTTACTCTTTTTTTTTTTTTTTTTGGATTCTTCATAAAATATCGTAGGATATTTCTTTTTCTTCTTCTTTTCGAAAGCAGCAAATCATTAACAGATAATTTATCATGCTGAATAGTCCCTTATTTCTTTTGCTACATCCGTAAATCAGACTAAAAAGCTGGACTGGATGTGACAGCATTTTGTTGTTTTTTGAAGCCTAATGCTCTTCTACTTATCTTAATTTCTATCACATCTTAATAATAATGATTTCTGCTCCTAAAGCATTTTGCTAATCTTCTCAACAATTAATGAACTTTTATATAATTTTGTTTACACTTCTTACAGAAACTATTTTTCTTAATATACACTCTAACTCCAGGACTCCCTAAACATCTACCTGCTCGCCCTAATTGAACTCTCGAGTAACTTATTACTATGTGTAAATAAAATAATAATAATAGTAGCAACAAGGTAGCGCTAAATTTATTAGGCATAAATTTTAATAAAGAAATATTAAAAATATTTAATTATTTAGATAGTAACGTAAATTGAAACGTCTAGAAATTTTTCCACATTCCTTTTTATTAATTATCATTCAATACAACCGCTTAAATAATTTCCCGTTCACTTTACTATGCATGTACATATACAAGTACATACACACACACATATATATATATATATATATAGTTATATATGTATATATATATATTCACTTTGCTTCACTTTACTATGCATGGAGATATGCAAGTCCACACACACACACACACACATTATAATTATTATTATATTAAATTATGCAATTGTGCTCTCAAGTCATTTACGTGATGCTTCAATTTAACGCACATGACATTAATCTTAGAATTTAACTAGGAGGGGATTATAATAGTTTAACACAATGAAAGAGAGGGCGATTTATAAATGTATCTGCACACATTATCATTTTAATAAATAATAAAGGCGACAGCAATAGCAGAACAGAGAAAACAAGTTGTACAACTCCACAACTATAGAGGAATTTTTTTTTATTTATTTTTGTTTTTATACCAAAATGCTCTTGAACTTTATTTTTTCAGTTATTACTGAAATTATTTGCCTTAGCGTGAAGAGTGGGAAGAGCAACAACTATTTATACTAAAAGAATGTAACAACGTTTAATATGTGAATGAAAATTGTTAAGGTGTAAAACTTAATTTATTTTAAAAAAATTATGCATTCCCTTGTCCGAGTTTAAAGGAGCGATAATTTTATGGTTAATAATGCTTGAAGTATATTTTGATTAAACAGCGCATAAAAAGCGATACTGTATTTTTCAGTTAAGCGGCTTTACATATATATATATGTATACACTTGCGGACAGGAAAATAGGTGTACGGTTCGCGCCTCTCCACACTTTTCAGGGCTCTAAAGGACTCGCGACATATTTATGCGATCGACTTAGTGATACAGCAATTAATTTGTACGTTTCTTCTTGATTTCTAAAGCTGATGTCCTAGCCATCCTACTTCTGGACTACTGGACTGGATGTGCTCGATCTATCCAATATTAATATGAACATTAATTTATATTGCATTTCCTTCTCAAGAAATACGTTGTAGCTTTACAATCCATCTTAAGAATAAAGTTTCCCAAACTCTTTACCTTTCACAACTTTAAAGAAGACGGGACCCATCTCACTGTCCAGCTGAAAAAGCTACTAAAGCAACATAAAAGTCGTCAACTTTTTAGCTCACATGGAATTCCGAGAATAAAAAGAAGAAACGGGTTTGCCGCCATTATGTAAAAGCGCCGTGTGAGCTTTGTGATTGCTATCTTTTACAATTTTTGTGTGGCATAGAGAACTGGCGAAAAAAATACACCTCGCACCTATTTTTCTGTTCACTTCTGTATATATACTGCTGTGTGGGTTAAGGATTTGTTTATAACCACAAAACCGTTATTTATCCTTTTAAATCAATTTCATCGCCTTCATAACACTTTCAAAGTGGGAAGGAATCCATAGCGTACAACGCAACGATAATTGATGAAAGTTGTTGATATCATTTTGATTTTTTACGGATTTTAGCGCAGATTTTTCGCTCTCGACACGTGCTCGCGTTTGTAGAATATTAGAGCTCTATTGATCAGTTATTTGCCAGTCGCACGGGTAGATCTAAGTCCCTATCTCTCGTAGTAAAGCTTATCGTGGCCGTTTGATAATTCTTTGCTTAACAAAATCGCACGTTATCAAAAAAGGTTAATTCGTTCATACCCGGAATGACAATTTTCGTAGATTCGAGCAAAATTAGACAAATTTGATTGATCCTAAAATTAATTTAAGTTATTACGCTCCTAAACGACAACATGTTTTCGGAGCATCACACTGTTTTGAGTTAGTTAGGTAAGGTCCAAATGATCTCTGAATCAAGCCTTTCAGATTTAGTGGTTAGACTCGACCACACAGCCCCGAAAACAATGAATCTCCTGCGTAATCGATTAAAAGTGACACCTGGTGCTAAAAGACGCCACATTGATACTAACTTCAAACGCGGCACTCGAGTCATGTGCTCAAACAGAAAGTTCGCTTATTGGAAAATAGACCGATTTTTCAGTATAACAATTCAAGTCGAGTTGAAAGTCGAGGTTTTTAATTAAAAATTCTGATATTTGACTTTGTTGACTTCTTTTGACAAGTCATTGGGAGTGTAGTGAGAAATTCGAAATAAATGATGGCCCAAAGCAAGCATGGCCAATCGGCGCACCATGGGGTGATCGAATCGTTGACCGTCACGTTTAAAATTTCAAACAATTAAATTTGCTCGCATATAGCAATGCTGGAAATGGATTGCATTACGACCGGCTCTGCTGTGCAGTTATCAAGTATGATATGTGCTTAAGTTTTTTTTCTTTTTTTTTTGGTTCCTTAGACCATAAAATGAACGATTTAAAAGGAAAGAAAATTGTAATAATAGTTGAACTTCGGTCCATCCTCGGCAGTGATATGAAAATTAAACTTGGCATGTGGATGAAAAAAGTTGCCTACCTCTGGATCGAAAGGCTGCAAGGCTTATTATTTTCGTCAGCAGCCTATCATTGTCTACGTGCCTTTTAGTATCCATTCATCCAGACATCTAGATTAAACTCTCTATGCAAAATGTAAACTATGCTCTTCTCGCTGCGGCCTCCGTCTTCTTTTACAGCAAGTATATCTTAATTCGTTCGGTAATGGTTATAAAAATTTGGGAAAGGATTAAAAGACCTTTGAGAAAAGCTTTCTTGT